GAAGTTCACGACTTGTTCCCAAAGTTTGCTCGCAAACGACGACAGGAGGATAGTAGCTCGTCCGTGTCCCCGTGACCGCGTAGTATCGTGAACTACCGCACGAAAAAAAGATACCTTCTGCTAAAGTCTTCTCTCGAGGGAACAGTCCAACTCGTCGCCGGCTGAGAATGGTTCAGAGGTTCTGCACTAGCGTGGCTGCGCTCAGCCTCGCCCTGAGTGCCTGCCTTGTTCTCCCCCGTGCCGTCATGGCGATCGACCTGAGTCGATTCTACGGTCACTTCAACACCAAACGTACAGGTGAGTAAATAACCGTGACCGTTTCCCCCGGCTGTCGAGTTGTCCGGCACTAGAGAATATACGCAACCTTGATTCGCAACCTGGTCAACACATTTCTCGGAATTACATACACCCTTCGCTCTATATAGATCTCACAATGGTCAATAAATAATCGTGTGATTCACTTTATATACTGTTTACTTTGTACAACGATAATTTATACTTTGTATGTACGTACTGTTTATTTTGTGTAGTAATAATAATTTATGTTTTATATGTAGTAATTTACGTGTTGCTTATTTTGTATAATAGTAATTTACATTTTGTAGTAATTTATAGATTTTACATAACTTATTAACTTGTATATTTAGTGTATTTTATGTACTGATAATTTTTATTTTATATGTAATAATTTAATATAATATAATTATTTTTTTATATAATAATTCTATTAATAATTCTAATTATTTTATATAACGGTACACGTTTGTTTATATATGTACATATGGAAGAATTAATGAAACAAGCCTACGTTTTCAAACCTAAAGAATTTTTGTTGACTGGAAACTTAGACATCTTAAATTGGATTATGCACCATTGCGTGACGAGAAAGAAAGGAAACCAAGATGTGACAAACGATACCATAAATATCAGAATATTAGTAAAATGTAATATCGTAACAACGTAGTTTATTCTTCTACTACGTTAATATCAAAAGGATTAAAGAATTCAAACTATGTTTTATTCCAACATACCAAGCTCAGTTGTTTGAAGGTGTATAGAGAAAAGGGTTCATAACTTTTAGGTTAAATAGATAGTATTCGCCGAAATATGGAAAAAAAATCTTAATAAACATAGGTCGAAAAATTAATAGTTTCAAACGATTTTTTGTTTCGATTGAAATGCTTGTGAAAAAGATTAGTACACACCCACACGATTTTTGAGAGATTCTTTAATATGAAGGTGTCAAGCATTCATAGAAATGGAAATTTCCTGTAATTAGAAAAAAGAAGAAATTATAAAGTAAACCACTACTTACGTACAGTATGACTGCTCTTCGAAACGAAGAAATTCGTTTCTTCAGTCGATAAAAAAATCGCTCGTAACTTTGAAACTTTTATTAATTTTTGTACTCTTCTATTCACTAGAACTTTTTTTCACGTTTCGGCGAGTACTGTCTAACCTAGAAGTTACGAATCCTCTTTTCCATTCACCCTGTATTTTAATCTTTACACGATGAACCATCGTGTTGATGGGCAGCATCATTGAAGTGGCAATTTGAGTCCACGTGGTACATTAAACGTATCACGATTCATCTTCGTGACACGGCCTCTGTCCGTGGTTTATTCAACGCAACAACGTAGCAATCGACGCCAGCGATATAAGTGTTGTTTTATTAGTGGTAAATTCCTTTGAGCAATAAACCGTGTGAAGTTCCCTGCGGTTGGTTAACGACTTGTTGCGAACTTGAATTACGCCAATGTTCGCTCGAGTTTCGCCAATTTACGATTATTTCATTATAGCAGTTTTCACGATCGTATAACCTAATAAATGATATTTGGACCGGTATACAATTAAATGTATGTAATTTCAATATACAAGGTGATTCATTTAATATGCACGCCTGAAATAACTTTTAAATTATTATCTAATAAAAAATTGTTTGATACGAAAGTTGCTTGGTTTTAAGGGAGGAAAAATAGTGTATCAATTTTTTGTGGGTTTCGAAATTTCCAAGGTCATTTTTATATTTTTTTATAAATCGTAAAATATCTCCTTAATCATTAGGTTTAGGACAAACGTGGTTCAGTACTTTTTTACTTGGAATTTAATATTCTTCCGATTTATAGTGAGAAAAATATGGTCCAATTAAAAAAAAGTAACTCGATAGTTTCTCGAAAACTAAGACTTCAACGAAGAAATTGTATTCTTTCTTTTTGATACATCTTTACACGTAAAATCACCCTGGTCGATCATCGAAGAAAACGATAGACTTGAAGACGAAAAAAATCGCATTTAACGGTGTAAGTACTATCCTTCGTTGATCTTATTGCGATCTTCGAATATTTTTACGTATGTTTTTTACGTATGTTTTTTTATATGTTGCTTTTCGTGTTATAAAGTGAGAAACTGTGAATACCGTATTTTTTTTTTTTTTTTAACGTTATTGATCAATCGTTTTAATTTCATTTCCCTTGGAGCGAAAGCTTTCCCTTGTGTGTAAAGGATTTGAAAATCGTAGGCAGAGTTAAACCGGTCAATATCAGCCATGCTGGCAACCACCAATAATTGGTGACTGTGTTATGCTAATCCGAGCATTGCCAGTTACAAAGTTAATGCACACACGCGCACGCTCTACGTTGCTCTGTGTGTGCGTGTGTGTGTGTGTAATATTCGATGTACGCACGCAACGTGAATCAACCGTGCATAGTCACGAGATTGTTACACATTCGGACATTTATTAAAAACTTTCGGACACTGTTGCGTGTACCATTGTCGCATATCCTACGCATTTTGCGTACATCACGCGAGCCATTCATTTTGAAAATGGCGCCAGTCACAATCGGAATCAAATTAGCAATTAAATTAATCGCGATTCTTTTCATTTTAATACAATTTGCCGGCCAGTGTGTGTTTCGAATATCGAGATTCTGTCGATAGAAGTCTCAGATATCTCGATTTAACACTACAAATTATCGACGACTAAAGCATAAAATTTCCATCAGAAACACTGAGACAGAAAAATGGAAAAGGCTTTGCGATACAATAAATTACCCCTTAATGAGCTTTTATTTATTTTTTAAACTTGAATTTTATTTTTTATAATTTTTGAAAATACATTATTTTACATCTATAAAATTTATGCCTAACAAATAAATTAGTCACTTTGATCACTTTGGTGGTTTCTAGTGTTACTAGCCACTTTCGAAATAAACAAATTCACGTGCATCACTTGATATCGTATAAAAATTATTAACATTATTATTATCATTAATATTAATCATTGCTATTGGTAATATTGTCAATATTATTATTAATATTACT